AATCTTCCGATAAATCGTTTCGAAACGAAACACCGCCTCCCGTATCACGCTCCCCCCGATTACACTTGTCCTCGCTAAAATTCGTATCCGTGAGCGGCTCGTAACGTCGACCATCCGATCGATCTTTATCATCGATGATTGAGAATCTCGCGAGATCTCGTTGAGAAAAGGAAAGAGAATGAAAAGAAGAAAAAGAAAAATTGGAAAGATTTCAATCGTGATAAAGATCAAGGCTAAAAAAGACGACACGTTATAGCGACATCCGTTTCTTCTTCTTCTTCTTTTTTTTTTTCTTTTTTTTTTTCCCCCTATTGTTTTTATCGCTCGAGTTTTGCAATACCGCACGGTCGGATTCGAGTTCGGGAAAACGAAGCGAGCACGAGATCGATTCGCGTTCGAGCACGAGTGTCGCGCGTCGAAAACAATGTAACGGTGACGTAACGGCGAGAAAGCTCGATCGACCAATCAACCGTTTAAAATTGTCTCGAGCCTCGAGAGGTGAGACAAAAGCTTGACTCTTTATTGGTTCGAGATACGAGCGCGCATGTTCGTTCCACGTTCTCGATTCCCACGTTCTGTGCACGTGGCGAGCGAAGAAGAATAAGTAATTTTGAAATTTCTTGCGCCTAACGCGTGATCGCGTTCACGTTTCACCGATATAAAATTATGATCATTGCCTGATAATGATAATCACGAATACGATCATCTTCGATATCCGTCCTCTTTCCTCTTTTATCAAATTTCACTCGATCGTATTATTCCCTTTTCCTCGCCCACGTTTTCTTCTTCTCTTCTCTTCATCTCCGTCTCCTTTTCACCACTCTTTCCCTTTCCCTCTTCTCTCGCTCGGATATCATTTTATCGCGCGTATTAACAACGAGACGCGATTTAACGATTTACCACGGTATCGAAAAATCTGCTTTTTCGAAACGTTAAGATAACGTGCTATTATAATCGTATATAACGACAATTATCTCTTTTTCCTTCTTTCTTCTTTTTTTCCTCTTATTTCGATGGCCGGAAAATTTAACACTTGTGGAATTCTTATACCGATATTTCGGAAAATAAATATGGAACGACTTTTTCCCGATTCGTATCTAATTCTTTTGTCTTCTTTTTCTTATTTCGGATTTAACACTTGTGCAATTCTTATATTATTATTCTCGATATTTCGGAAAATAAAAATTCATAGAACGACTTTTTTTCGATTCGTATCTAATTCTTTCCTCTTCTTATTTCGATAATCGGATTTAATACTTGTGGAATTTTTATACCGATATTTCGGAAAATAAATATGGAACGACTTTTTCCCGATTCGTATCTAATTCTTTTGTCTTCTTTTTCTTATTTCGGATTTAACACTTTTGGAATTCTTATATCGATATTTAAAATAAAAATTCATAGAACGACTTTTTCTCGATTCGTATCTAAATTCTTTCTTCTTCTTTTTCTCTTATTTCGATAATCGGATTTAATACTTGTGGAATTTTTACACCGATATTTCGGAAAATAAAAATTCATAGAACGACTTTTTCTCGATTATAATTCGTATATTATAAACGTTACGTATTAAAGATTCGATATTTTATCGCTTCTTGTATCTTTCGGGGAAATAAGAATACGAACCTTGAAAATAAATAAAATTTTATTATTTCTTTTACGATCCGCAAAAGAGTTTAAACGAGATCTATGCAACCTTGTATTGTTTGAAATAGTCGGCAAAAATCATTTATTTACAAAAATTTATGTTTTTACCTATTTTTCAACGATCGTAAAATCGTAATGAGATTAAATTAAGGACAACGTATATCTATGAAGAAAATACAATGCTTATTTTTTTTAACGATATATTCTAAATCGTTTCATTTATGATAAAAATATATGCATCATCCAAGCGATTATATGAATGTACAACGGTATTCATGACGTAATCCTAAAGATTACTAAATTATACAATTATTATTAAATATTTAATAGAATCGATTATCCAATTACAAAAAGATAGAAACGATCCTATCACACATGATTCTATAAATAAATAATTTCTCATACATCGTGATACAAGGCATTTTAAAAAATAGCTGAAAAGAAACAATTGGAACGAATCTTTTTTACTATTTACTTACTTACTTACTTACGATTAGTTTGTAAAAGTTTGCATTCTTGTTCGATCCTTGTTTACAAATATCCATCCAATATCATATCATTTTATTTAGCTCACGGCTCGCAGTTCGGAAGGACCAATTTGAAACGATTTGATCGATCTGTAACAACGATAATCTAACCAATTTTAAATTTTAAGGAAAAGAAAGACGAAAGTTGTTGCAAGAGTATTCGAGATAATGAAAAAATTATGTTCGATTGGCTGGAAATGATAATTTCTTGATTGTTTCGTAATCTTACCACGAGATATAATCGTACCGTGTCCACGAGATATCCACGAGCAATCCATAATAGTCCTAAATGGTGTTCTTTTGATTTTTTCAACATTTTTCTAAATTCTTACCATTCTCGAGTTTAATCGCGTAATTCTACGCGCATACCTCTCTTCTATCGACCAAATTACAATTTTTATTCTTCTGGTTTCTTTTACTTTTGTTTCTCGAACACGAGAATTGCGTACAAATTTTCTTTAAATTTTCTCTTTTATCATTGCGCATTCAAGCGTGCACGTACAGGTACACGTCAAATTATTCTTTTCAATTCCTTCGATTCGTGTAATTTTATACACGCGTACTTATCTAGAACAAACGAAGCGAATTTTAGAAATTCTTATATTCGTTGTAAAAAGAGAAAGAAGAAGAAGAAGCGAAGAAAAA